AGCATTTCTGGATGAGCACAAATCACAAGTAAAACAGGAGAGGAGTAAAACAGCATAATGAAATTTTATTCTGAAAATATGGCAAGACTCTAAGGCACTTCAAACATTTCAATACTCATGACTAAAGAATGTGACAAGGTAATAGCATTCCATAAATACGCACTGAGAACTACGCTCAATTCCACTCAAGGGGAATATACAACTGGTACCTCTAATTTTATTCTCCAATAAACGTGTATGGAGCTTATAGACTGACACAGTTAATAAAAATATGGTAACAAGACATGTAATTCTTCATCTAGATTTTAATTATTAAGGAATATAAAATGTTGAAAATACTGTGCGAATTAATTTTATAGACACTAATATCTTTTACATAAAAAGTTATACATTATCCCCAATTAGCAACGACTTATTTAGTGAACTTCAGACCTGACAAAAGGCTCTATCCCCAATACCTACCCACTCACCCACCAGCTCAAGATCCATGGAGCTGACTATATAAGCAACTGCAACTTCTGAATTTCAAATAATTAAAAACATGAAAATCATGTTGGAATGAAATCTATGAAAAGTTTACTGTGATAAAGTCTAGGCACAGTAAATATATTTTAGAATGACTAAAAAGAAGCCACTGGGACACCCCTGCATGGACAGCTTCAGAAGTCTTAGGGCGCACATAACACAGGAGAAGATAATCTACAGCAAAGAAAAACAGGATTTATGCCAGTGTACAGAATGATGACTATGTGAGAAAAGAACAGAAAGGTTCTCTGCTGAGCACTACTTAACTATAGGCTTACTTTAAGTTTACAGTTTTCTATCTTTAGCACTAGATCTCTGCTTTCACTTTGCTGGTGAGTTCAGGCACAAGACAATTACATTCAGTATCTGTCTCAGTAAAACAGTAACATTTAGCAGCTTACAGATGGCATAGAGATTTTTTACAGATATTCATGAACTACTACTCAAACGTGGCTCTGTGGGTGGGACCAGGAGATGTCCTTCTGCTAAGCCTAGGAGTGCCCTAGAAAAGAAGAACAATTAATCAAAGTCAAATTATTCCAGCCAGCTGCTAGTGAACACAACACTCAAAATTACTCTGTTCAATCCCTTGCCTTTAATTTTACAGATAAATCTTTTTTTGACCTTTTTTTTTCTTTTTAATTTTAGGAAGAAGAGTACCAGCTATCATACAGCCTACTAACTGACAGTGCATGTTTTTTAGACAGTGAAATGCTTAACAGCAGTTTATGAGAAGAGTGAGTCAGGGCTAGAGAAGGGGTGGGTAGTTGCCAGAACACCTAGGACAGCTCTAATGCCAGAAACAGCTATCTTTGGGTGACCAGGTCAATAATTAGCATTACAGTAATACAAGAGCACCCTATCCACAAGGCAGTGTTAATGAACCTTGCTAGTGAGCTATCTGTATCTCTAGATAAAAGGGAGAAGGAGGAGGAGGAAGAAGAGGAGGAGGAAGTATCCCTCAGCCAGGCTTCAACCTTCTGCAGTCAATCTGCATTTTAAAAAGTACAGTCCACTTACCACCACAAAAATGATCCTGTGAATAAACTTGAAATTTCATGTGCTGTACTACTGTTTAGCTACCAGGGGGTTAATTTCTTGTTCACGTTTTACTATTATGTCCAGGAGCAGCAAGTTAAAACATAAACTACAGGGGGTTGTATACTAACCGGTGACTGGGTTTTGGAAAAGTTGACGTGCGCATAAAGGAGAACTGCTATGTCCTTATGTCCAGCTTCCAGGGCTATTGAAAGTGCTGTGCTGCCATCCTGAGAGAAGAAAGGAAGAAACAGGAGAATTAGTGCTTGTATGCATTAACAGATCTCTTAAAAGTCCCATCAGCCAACAGAGAAGGGAAGTTATGAAGTGGAGGCCCTGGTGCTCATACACACAGTTAGGTTAATTTAGAGTCTTGTTTCATTTCTTTTATTATAAGCCTTGCACTGCTGTTTTATGAGGTAGTCCAATTGTCAGAGGCCTAATAATTTCTGTCAACGAGTACTCTTGATTACTGCTGAGGAAGAATAAGCACACCATTATCACAATAACGTTACATGTAGTGCTGTGTAAGACCAGTGATTTCAGAAGATTGGGCTGTCTGAGAGAAACTATGATGTCAGTAACAAATGGAAGAGAAGATAAGGGAGGGATAAATGCGAATCAAATATAATGATAATTGCTGTATTAAAATGATAATTGTTGTGTTAGAGATCCCATTAACACAAGGAGAATTTGCACTCCTAATTCCAAATGTTCCTTAATGGAAGTCTAAATATAATTTCATGGTTAAATACTGTCATCTCAGTTTCTTGGAAGATATTATTGCTTTCAGAAACCACAGTTGTTGAGGGTGCTAGAAGCAAAAACTGGTTTTGCTGAAAGGATAATTTATTGATCTGCTGTTTTTCCTTTAGACCATGTTTGGTCCAGGAAGAAGTAGATGTCAGGCATCCCCTGGCTTGCTGGTTGGTTCCCTGCCTGCCATTTGGCTCTTGCACACAGAAGTTTCTACAATAATGCCCGTATTTGAAATGTGCTCTCACAGGGATGGAGCACGTATTCCAGCCATGGCCATAGTGCTGGTATTGGTATTGGAGAGGTTGGCTCAAGTACTTAAACTGTAAACCCTTTTTCCAGAACAGGACATGACAGACAGCATCCACATGGAAAATCTCCTTATGAGACTACAGGAGGCAATTATACATAAAGCAGACAGGGAGCTAGAATAGCTGTCCACTACAATGCAATATAACTACAAATGCACAACACTCCACAGGCAACACAAGTGCTTAAAGAGAGATGCTGAATCACAGTCAGAGTGGCACACATTAGTAGGATGATGCTCAGCTTACTACTGACTGGAAAAGCCTTGCTGTGACATTCAGAATAGTTAGGGGAATGCTAAAACTCTCAAAATCTCACAGCACAGACAAGCCCATTATAAAATGAATAAGCAGCAGTCAAACTGTGCTTGGGAAACAGTGTGAAACTGGCTAAAGGAATACTTAAGCGTCATGTTCCCATAAAGATTTTTAAATTATTGACTTCATGACTAAGAGTGCTAACAGCATCCTGGCTGCAGTTATCTAGATTGCCCCAAAAGTGTTTGTTACACTGAAGTCTTTTTACATTTTCTCCTCAGGCCAGCTGTTACACACTGCTAGTACTATCAGACAGCTGAGCTGCCTCCTGCAGCAGGTCAGTGAATGAAGAGAAATGATGTCTCTGTCTCTCTGCAACAGATTCAACAAACAACCACCCTCCAAAATCCCAAACCCAGGCTCCATTTCAGTGGGTAATGCAATAGGAAGAATGGAAAAGTACCCAAGAAATGTTGTTAACAAGAATACAGTACTGGCAAGAGATCAGCTAAGTCAACATTTTCAAGCTTGAGAATTCTACAGATCAAATTGTCTGCTGACAGTGTAGGCTGCAATGATCCCTGCAAACAAAAAATATACAAGTGTCTCGCTTGGCATGGAAGTCACAGTCTGTATCTCTTTATTGTCAGGACAACAGAGCTTCGTGACTGAGACCAAACCTGTACTCTCAAAAGTCATTGTGTAGATACAGTGTGAACATCATGTCAAGAGAACTGATGTTTGCCACAGGCACAGAAAAGCAATACAGAAAGGCCTCAAAGTCACCAGATATGGTCCTAACTGAAAATGGGAAAACTCCTGTGAAAGGGGGAAGGAATGTATGAAGGGAAGATGTTTTACTATGAGCTAACAAATACTTTTTTCTGTTCTGGCCACTAAACACCTACAGCTAACCACAGAAATGGCTACCAGGTAGGTCTGTTAGAAAAGTAAAAATATTAGCCAAATAATCACAGCACTTACTACCATTAAGCAGAAGATTCATGTGGTTGGTACTTCAGCACTCTCTGAGTCAGAGATTCACTTAAGCAGATTTCAGTAATACAGTCTGGAAAGGTAACTCACATTGTCCTCCAGGGTGCCATTACACCCAGGCTGAGCCAGCAGAAGTTTAACAATCTCCACATGTCCATGCTCACTAGCACACATCAGAGCTGTAGAGCCCTCGTCATCCTGGATATTGACATCTGCACCACAGGCCAGCAAAGCTTTAACCATGTCTATCCGACCATGACTCACAGCTAGCATCAGTGCAGTCTGACCAGCCTGCATGAAAAGAAGAAGAAAACCCAAATAAATACAGAGACAATCAGTGACAAAGCATGAACACATTTTTTTGACACTATGCTTCTTCTGGGGAAAAGAAATCATTATCTTAAACAGTACTCTCAAGGCTTGGGTTTGCCATTATTTAAATACCTTTTATGCACCAAATAACTCACATTCACTTAGCTATTTATTGAATTAGTGAAAGATATCCAAACTATTTCCAGATATCTGCAGTTCTTTGGAAGGAGCTAAATGCCACAGAATTTCTAAATGCCTCCTAAAATTCAGTAATAGTTCTTTCATATAATATTCAACCATGATTTTTAGAAGAGGTCCGGACCTGAGGCTCAACTATTCTTCCGCTTCGTTTTGTATATAGCAATCAAAAACATACACAAAAAACCCACAGATGGTGAAAGTGAATGAGTGCAAAAGCTGAACTGACAGAGCAAGGATGGGAGCGTGGAAGGAAAGATAAAAGGTCACAGGAATGCAAACTGTGCCTTGTGAACCATTTGACTGACCTGGCTGGCTTTAGCATTCACGTCCCCACAGCTGAACAGTTCCTCCACTATCCTCATGTCCTTCTCCGCTTCCACAGCTGCAAGCGCAGCAAGCATGATGGGGGTATAACCAGCCTTGTTTTGATGATTTACGTTACAGACATCTGCAGAGGGATGACATAATTTCTTTGGAAAGCAAGAACCCAAAAAGCAGTAATTGTGCTAATCAACTGAATAAACTGTTAGTAGAGCAGCCTAAAAAAAGAAAAAGCAGCAACTGCTTTCATAATGGAAGCAATTCAAGGGAAAGTGGAAAAATAAAAAATAAATAAATAAACAGGGGAGCTCTTGAGCCTGAGAAAGAAAAGAATTCTTTTCTACTATGTGTATAACACAAGGGAGAGCACAGAGCCATTTTATATGCTATCATTTAGGGCTTTCTTTGTACGTTTGTTTTTTCTTATGTAAAAGCAAGTGGTCTGAAATCTGACATGGCCGTCAGGGTCATGGTTCTGCCACCAGAAATACCATCAGGAGAGTCCTTAAGCTCTTCTCCTGAGGGCATCCACACTGCAAAACAAAAATGGTTCAGCAACACAGTCAGTTGAAAAGTTATTTCTCCTCAGCACAAACATTTTTCCTGTAATTGGTGTTATTTTGAAAATCTGCAAGTGTACTTCAACATGTTTTAGAGTTGCCAAAAAAAAACCCTTTAAATTAAAGGCTGCTTCCAGTTCTACAGGGTATCTGACTGTGAACAAAACTACTCTGGGAACAAATACAGTCAAGTGCTCTGACCATGACAGCAACTGACAAGAGTTCTCCTTTTTGTTCAAATCTTACCTCCAGTCTCCCTCTCTTCCTAAAATTCTGCAGAAATTCATCAGAGTTTACCAGGGAGCAGGGTTTTCAGTGTGCTTATCTTATTGAAAAGCAAGGACTCAGACTTACATAAACAGTATCTCTAGATTAGGGGTTAAATTGCACCACAATTGCAGAAATGTTCCAAGAAATTCTACAGATCTATTACCAAAGGATTTTCTTTTTCAGTGAAAAGAACATTTCAGAAGCAATACAAGTGCAGATGTAAGAAAATGTACATTTTTAATGTTTCACAGACATCAGTGATGTTACCTTACTACTTTTAGACATCACTTCTATGAAGCCACAGAACACTCTTGCTACATGCATTACATCATGAGTAATGAATAATTTTTGGAAGTGATGTGTTCCTACCCTGACTAGACTACTTCAGCAGAGCGTTCTTTCTGAGGTCACATTTCAGCTCCTTTTCTATATGGCTAATGAACAAAACTGTTCTCCTACTTGTCCTCTTGGTGACTCTGCTTCGTGATATGGAGGATTCTCTGATCTTGTTCTTTCTTCCCACCAAACACACAGAGACAGAGTCTTGGACCAACAATCTGCCTGTGACATAACCACGCTGCAAAGTTGATCACACTGACCATTCAGACACAGTCCAGAGGACAACTCCTGAAACCTGAAGGAATCTGCCTGTTTGAAAACATTTTCCAAGTGCTGGCACAAGCAGTTCTCCCGCAGAGGACTACCTGGCACTAGTCACGGTTGTTGTATTTTACAGTTAACCTCTGGTGTCTGCAGGCATACACTAGCTGCTGGAACCTACAGGAGGTCCTGACTTCCAGCAAGAGATGAACATGTTCCTGCTACCCTGAGATACCTAGGGAAGAGAGGGGCAGTTCCCTCCCACCACCGCTGTGCTGCAGAGCCAGCCTGCTGCATTTCACTGTGCTCCTGACATTCCCTGAATTCCCCTGCCGTGACTCACTCTTCCCAACAGGAAGAGGGCCTTCAAACAGGACCAGAGATTTCAAAGTGCTCACTTTGCTGCTGAGGAAATCTCTGCATGTGTGACAGATGTGCTAGGTTTTGAAATCTGAGATTTGTATCATTAATATCCTTGTTTATCTGATGCTACCCTTCTGGATTTATGAATATTGCTTGGCTTACACTCCAGATGTGTTATTGGCCTAGTTAAGCTTTTACAACCAACTGTGACAGGTTTTATAACTAGTTTAGAGAAACCAACTTCACTCAGGGAGCAAAGAGGGAGCTTAAACAGATCGCATCCTGCCTAGGACCATTTCCAATGTGATACCTTCTGCTTGCCATCTGGCACACTGCATGTGGGGAGCAGATGCTCTGGAGTCTCTCCTTGGCCACTACCCTCTCTGCAAGGGGACTGAGAAAAGGAAGCAACAACAAAAGCAACTACATGAAGCATCATCACATTGCTTATGGATCAGGAAAATGCTCTTCTGTGACAGAATGCCATACTGCTCCAGTTTCTGAGAAAGGCAGAATAGATGTGTCAAGGTGGTGGCCAAAAAAAGGTTTTGCATTGCTTTAGTAAGATAAAACTAGACTGGTCTGAGTGTTTAAGATGGATGTTTATACCTCAGTGAATCTTCCTGCACCAGCACCCTACACCTGACTGAACAGCAGCTGCACTGCCTCCAGAGAAATCCAGTGCTAGAGCCTGGTGTTGCTGAGCTTGGAACTACAGTCCAAAATTCAGGGATCTAACTGTAAGTCTCAGGCACTGGCCAATTCTGTATAATTTACCTGAGTGTTTTTATAACTTTTTCAAGAAACATCATCTCAAAAGCTAATGCTAAAAACAAAGATTCCAGATTACTCAAGTGACTCACCATATAACTGTTAACAGTTAAAACAATTGCTGGAAAAAGCCCAAACTTGATCTCTTGTTCATCAAGAATTTCACCTGTGAGAATTGCAAAACCCAATAATAATTAAAAAAAAAAAGCAAACCTGTTAACCTACTTGCATCCAGAAGAAGCTTTACAATTTCAAAGTTAGAATGTGAGACACTGTAATGCAGAGCTGTGTTTCCATTTCCATCTGCCATATTGATGATATGTCTGAGGACAGCAGGAGAAATCTCTTCAAAAGCAGTTATGTAGTCTCCAACCATTTCAGGGACAGCAGACTTCTGACTTGAGACACGAAACCACTCATGCTGGATGGTATTTAAACAAAACCTCTGCCAAAACCAAACCAGAAAACTTTACATATGGGCCATCTATTTAAAGGATTTTCCATCCCACAAGTCAACAACACAGGTCAAGCCTTTTTTAGTCCAATGTGGGAAGAAAGCATTCAGCTCACAAACAAGATGACAGACTGAAGCTTCCCCTCTGACTAAAGCCTTCTTTAAAACCAATTGTTTACTTCCTCTCACTTCACCTGATTTTCAGGAATTATTCCCCTCTGAGGACATGGATGAGATTACTCCCAGAATTAATCTCATCGTCTCAGAATTAATGGTTATCAAATACTGGTGAACAGAAAAAAAGACTTGGAGTAACCATTTCCATCAAATTCTTAACTAAGTTTATGAATCACTAATAAACACAAGACAGAGAGCAGGGAAAATGCACATTTCTGACTGGACTTAAAACAACAGCATGCTAAGTCAATTAGGTCCAGTTTTGAGGCACAAATTATCAAATGCATCAAGTATATGAGAACTGGCGGGACAGCAGTTCTGCAGGAGAAGAGCTGGGTATTACAGATGATTACAAGCTGAACCCAAGACAACAACATCGTAGTGTAATGAAAAAGGCAAATACTGTTTTGTGGTGAATAAACATATTTATAGCTTGCACAGCATGTGATGCAGTCTCTGCCTATTGCTGTAAAGGCAACATCTGGACTACTTTGTCTGGTCTGATCACTGAATGACACAAAAGATTTGGCTGAAACAATTTCAAAGGTGAACAGCAAGAATGATAAGAAGTCAAGGAAATCTGACCTATGGGACAGACAGGAAGGACTGGAGATGCTGTGCTGAAAGAACTGCTGTAACATTTTCACAGGCAAAAAAGACTGTTGCAGTAAGAAAAGAAAGAACCTGTTCTTTACCTGAAGCATGGCTGGCTGTCGTAGCAAGAGATTTTAGCTGCAATGAGAAGATGCAGGCTACACACTCAGGATAAACTTTCACATTGGTATTGACTAAGGGTGAAGGAGTATGAGCCTCTTAGGCCAGGTAACTTATCTGTTGGGAAAAATGTAGGTAGAGCAGATCTTGCTGTGAGCCAAGGAGGCTTCCACAGTCACCACCAGTTCTGACTTTGAGAGGCAGTTTCTGTAACCTGGAAGGAACACCATATCCTCCTCATAACCCCCCATGTGCAAGGAGGCCAGTAAATTCAAGGACAATTTTGCAGAGAAGAGACTCAAAAAGCTTATCTAGCCTCTGGGGAAAACACTGCAGTAGCTCTAGAGGTGGCGCGTGTCCGGTAAAGAGAGAATATTCTACATACATCAGTACTACCTGTATAACTGTACTACAGAAACACATTTACAGAATGAAAACTGACAAGGTCCAACTATTTGAGTTGGACCACATGTATTGCGAACATACAGAATTGAACAAAAAAGTGATCATAAAGCAACACAATATATTTTTTTTTTAATTTTAAGCGCTACTGAGTGCAAAATACCACTAAGAAGTTATTTTTAGTCACAGCATCACACACATTATTAAGTAAATAGCACACTTCTTTTTATTCACGTAATCCACATTCCAAAATAAGCAATCCGCAGCTCCTCCTGGTGTAATCAGAAGCCATAAGAGCTGAGTATGCTGGAAGAGGTTGGGACAACTTATATAGATCCTTAGCTGTACTGACATTTAACCTGTTTGGACAAGACTCCTTTATCAGCAGATAGACAGAGAACAAGAGCTGATGAGTCTGTAGTTTCCACCTACAAAGCACTACTTGTGCTGGAAGACACTTTAAGCACAAGAAAGAAAAACGTAAATTCAAATTACACTTCCAAGGCAGAGATCATCATGTGGTTATGCCATTTTTGACACTTACAACTCCAACAGGGCCTAAAGCATTTGTTGTTTGAATGCCTAAACTACTCCTGAAAGACAGATACATGATTAAAAACGATCTGTCACAACTGTATTAAACAACCTTTCGAAACATTCCCTGGACCACAAATGTCAGAACTGGACACAGACAATACTACTGTGTCATACACACAACATAACTGTCTTTAAGAAGTTGCAGTAGAGGAGATCAGTGGATTGTTGCCTTTTACATCACCACACAACTGTAAGAAATGCAAAATTCAGTTTCATATCACTAAGCAGTGTTCCTTTGCTTTCAGATTGCCCTCACAAGGCAGTATAGGCAATTTCTATATGAGGCAAATACAATTTCATTTCTTGAGAATGAGTATTAACAATGAATACTCCTTACTCTCTGCAGCACTGATAAAACCACCAGTGCAGTAAGTCAGACAAACAACACCCCTGTGCTTAGAAGGAGGCAGATCACCTCAGCTTCAGAACAGACTATGAGCTTTTGTCACAGGAAGTAACAGTCTTCTTACGGCATACAGTCTCCTAATGTGAGGCCTAAGAGCTGCCCACAGCAGTGCTAAAGCAACACTTACAAAAATAACACAGGAATACACAGATGTGTTGAAACTGCACTTTCATGTTACTACTTTTATGTGTGTGCCTTGCGTGACAACACCCAAGTGCACAAAGCACAAGTACATTCTCTGGACAAAAGTCTCCTGATAGAAAGAGCTTTGTGACCATCGCAGGAAAGACGAAATCCTCTTCTGCTTACCCGCTGCAATGCTGGTCCTGCAAAACCACAAGTTATCTTTCTCTGAAGTTTTCTATTGCATCTGACAGAGAATTTTGCCCTGTATTGCTTACCACATCTTTGTTGGTTAATGTCTTGGGGTCATCAATGTTGTTTCTCAGCAAGTGACAGGCAGAAAGCATCTTTTCACTTAGCTCGTATCTGAGGGAGACAGCAACATATACTGCATGTTTCAATTTTTCTCTTAACGTTTCAGCATAGAAACATTTATCTTTCTGAAAGTTCTCTAGGAATTAATGTTTCCAGGCAAGCAATCTGCCATTCAGAAGCCACTCTGGCAGCTCTTCTCTACTCATAGTAGTGCCTACTCATAAGGTCTGTGCCTGTCTCACATGTCACTGTGGCCAACCATCTCTGCCTATAACCTGCAGAGAGGATGATGGCAATTTTAGGAAAATTCTCCCAGAAAGCAGAGAAGCTAGGACACTCTGTGTGTAAGGTGGGCATTTTAGCCCTCCTGGGTTACACGCCAGCTGCTAGTGCTTCCAGAGCAATGAAATGCTCCACCACAGCATGGACCATGTCCATGCATAGCCATGTGCCCTGCCCCTTCCCCTCAAAGGGCATTGCCAGGGCAGTCAGCTTGCAAAGAACATGTTCCTCAAGTACACATGGCTATCTAAGCTGTCCTGCTACTCTTCACAACCACCCCCTGCTAGGATAAATGTAAATTAGAGAGCTCTTTTGAGAAACTGCCCATCTTTTTATGCCACCTGTAAAATAACAAGCTATCCTACAGTATTGTATAAAGCAAGCTCAGAGTACTTCAGAAGACACAGCTCCAAGGCCTCCAAGCTCTTAATTATTAATTTCTGCATCTCTTTTATTTAGCAGCTGACAATTACAGAGAACTTGATGCTAAGCTACACCTTCAGTGAAACATGACGTTAATTTTGTTTTAGCTCTTTTACTGTTATTATTCCACCTACATAATTTTCCAAGCTAGCACACTTGTAAACCACTGGCAAAACCATTGTCTATAAAATATCCCTTCCCTGTCTATGTTTATACTTCCTTTTACCATTTACTAAAGAAGAATCAGTAAAAACTCATGACACAATTGCTTTCCGTATACAAAACAGAAAAGTCTTGTCTGTCAAATCCTCTTACACAGTCCATTACCAGCAATTTGAAAAGCAGCTTAAGACATGAAATGCTGAAGAAGTGTGTGATAGTGACCTTAGAAGTGTAGTACAGTATATGATCTCACATGAAGCATATGATCTGAGGGCTGGACAATGTCCTTGCTTCTGTAGCCCATCCTCTTACTGAGCACTACCAGCCATGGCTGAGATGCCGTGGAAGGTGCAAATGCAAGATGTACTCCCAGGAGGCTGGTGTGCATGGCTCCAGACTCATTTGCTTGCTCGTTTTACAGACCAGGCCATTCACAAGGCATTGCCAGCTCCCAAACAAGTGCCATTTGTGTCCTGGGAGAGCCTCGGCTGGATAAGCCACCTGGGTCTCACCATTAATGGACCATTTAAAGTCAATAGGATCAGCTGCTGGAAAGGATACCCTCTGACACCTTCTCCCTGCTCACACAAGGTCGTTTTGCCATGAAACTGCCTCTGACTATCCACTCGAGCAGGAGGGAATTGGGCAGCAGTCAAACAACGATAGGGCTGATGTTTTCTCCACCAGCATGAGCACAGCCCACTGCTTACCCCATGCCACGAGGCAGCAGTGACCTCCTCAGAGGCACTCTGGAGGGGGCGAGCAGCCTACCTCTCTCTGATTTCCACCTCCTCGGCCTCACACTCTGGGAGAGGACTGTCCTTCTCTGCCCCCACGGCACAGACCTCCGCAGTGTGTGGGGCGGGCTGCTTCTCCTCTGTGTGCCGGTCGCAGGGGTACTCATGGCCCTCGCACTCCTCTTCTGAATCTGAGGAGGAGCTCTCCTCCGAGCTGGAGTCATCACTGGATGTGGTCTCATACCTGTGGGAAGAATGGGCAGGGGCAGGGGTGCTTGCTCAGTGCCATTCAGCAGTGGACAGTATCTGCTTGCACTGGTGCAAGTGGAAAAATGTCTTGCAAAGGCTTAGTCCTCCTGTTTTCCATTCAGAGACCTTTTCTACTCACTGAACTCAGTGTCAAGGCTAACTGATAACTGATCATTAGTATGTACACAGTGTGTAATGAAAGAAGAACAACCTTTTTTAAACAAAAGTCTTAACACTCTGTCAGACATTGTCTTATCCCCAAAATGAAATTACTTTGTTCAGAGTAAATTGTGTTGTTGCCTTACTAGTCAGGTATAAGCAGAAGGTAACAAACCTGTGGTAACATTCCCCCACTATAAGTAATGATACTTTCAGTCAATATGTATGAAATCAAGTAATTGGGATATTTAGGCTATATACTGCACAAAGCATTTGTACTAAAGAAAAACTAATCTGAGGAAAGAGCTAGAAAAGCTATATAAAACAATTTGATGAAACCATTTTCAAGTTCTTTGCAACATTCTGCAAGGGCAAGGTATTTTAAAATATGAAAATTTTCCATACTGTTTTCTGTACTTGTGTAGTAAAGTTTCTGTATTTATCTAACACAAAGCCAGAAAAATTAATTTTTGGGCAATGCCATCTCTTGCTGTATTGTTTAATTTTACAGTGTTGTGCTTGTCAGCTGCCAAACATATTTACAAGTTTTCCTTAATAAAGCATTGCCTGAGGAATGTCCCCATGGCTGAACTCATTTCATTTTCCTGAGTTAAATTTGGCAGCAATCTCATGTACAGGTACTTGAGACTAATGCCATATATCACTTGAATGCACAAGAGGACTAAGAGGAGCTCAGCTGTCTCATTCTTCCTTCTGATACCTACTCTCAGCAGATGCACGTGAGCCTGAAGGACGGGCCAAAGCTATGCATGTGCTCCTGGGTTCTTCCTGTCCTACCTGCTGTGAGAGCAGTACAGTGCTATAGTGACAGATGTTTTGGAGACAGGTCTCTTACCCGCCATTAATGCCAACAAACTGCAGGTTCTTCTTGGTGTTGCTCAAATCCTTCTTCCCATCCCTTTTCTTCATGATAGATTTAAGCGTGTTTTCATTATTAGTACATACTGTTAAAAAGGGAGACAAAGCACACATACTAGTACAAATCTGTAGCCAGCTTTGACTGCAGCAGCTTTAGACAATTTTTCATAACAAACAGCTCTCTGTTTAATTTACCAACTGAAGCTGAGTTTTCTAATATTTTTATACATACAGTCATGGTGTGAGATGCATATTGGAAATACTGAAGAACAGTTTCAAAATCAGCTCTGGAAACTAGTGTAGCCTAGCTTTCCCATCTTCCAACATGCTGCTAATCTTTATGATGCTTTAGAAAACTTTAGGAAAAGACATAACCTTTTTGTTTTTCTTCGCTATTTGTGAAAAACTTCTAATGCTGAAATGGGTTACTCTGCTCTATTAAGAAAATCTTAATTCTTGGTGTCAGAGAGCAGCAGCTCTTTGCCAGAATGAATGCATTAGTACAGACAGCATACTTAAACAACACAGAAAGCATATTTAACAATAAACTATTCAACAGGGTGGGGAGGCTCAATCAAGGCTAGTCTTTTAGACTGGAGTATTCATTGAAACAACTTTTTAAGCAATCTCTAAGCATAAGACAGGTAAAACATTCATACAAATTTAAGTATTTAAAAAAAAATTAACTCTTTCAGTACATTTTTCTTATGAAGACACTAAATGACATTTCGCTGATGCTACAATCTGCCATCTAACCACTATCTGCTGACACAGGGTCTCAAACTGTGACTTTCCCTGTAGCTGCATCTTTTCCTGCTTTTACATTTTTGGTAATACTGAAAAGCTTTTTTAACTGCATTTCATATTCGGACTCCACCAGAATGATGAAAGGTGAATGTGAGTCAGTTATTACCATAAAGGCCTGAGGCAAGCTGGTCATCTGTCAGGTTACTTGGAGCAAGAGTTTTATCCTGAGAAGAAAAGGACTTCCTTCCCCGAACAGTTTCCACCAGGGGAGTCTTCCTCTCCTGCTGAGCAGGTACAGTGTCCTGCTCCAATTTCAGCGTTCGCAAATTTGAAGTTAAGTGGGTGTTTGCAAGTTGACTGTGTGGGATGTACTCCAAAGTAGCACCTGCCAGAGAAGACAGTAGGCATCATGGAGGAGTCAGAACAAAGTATTTCTGCCAATATTGTAATCAACAGGTGGAAAAAACCCCAAACTGGAAAAGAAAGGGCACCCCTTGTGCTTTAAAATACTCTTTTCTAGGACCTGATATGAAAAAGACCGTGATTGCTTTCAGAAAATGCAAAAAATAGCTGTGAGTTCTTCTTTTGGTGAAAATATGCAATACAAGGAAAAACTATAAAGATATGGGCTTTAAAATGCACAAAAGGAATGGTGCTTCCTTTTCCTTCTCTTTCAGTATGAACAATGACCCCAGCTCCTGCCACCCTGGCTCAGGGTGGGCTCACTGAGCTGCTCCTCACTGACATGCCTGAACAGCACATTCACATCTCCTCTGAACAGTCTTTCTCCAAGAGAAGTAAGCTTTTTATTGCACTTGTTTTTTAGGGAATGTAATTTTCCATGAAACCAGAAATTTTTCAGAAATTTTCCTTTTTGCCATCACTCTGACTAATTCTGAAACTTATATGCTTAACCAAGTTACTGAGACAACTGCAGTAAACTCGCACACACTACATTTCTTTCTTTCCTTTTTTTTTTTTCCTTTTTTTTTGACAGGATTGTACTGAGCTAGTAGTTGTATTTAAATCAAATTCCAAATGTTTGGGTTATATTTTTTCCCCTCGCTGATTTGCTGGCATTCACTCATTTTTTCCCTTTGTGTATTTAAAAGGCAGTGCTAATTACGCACAGACTTTTACAGATTCCCCTGGAGTTCCTCCAGCTGTGCTATTACAAATGCTCTACAAATCTGCACAAATGCTTTTGTTTGTGGAACACACTGGGGTTTTTTTACACACATATTCCTCCCTAAGTGATCTTGTTAGCATTCAATCACATGTGCCTCCATATTTTTCTGCCTTTGTATTTATCAAGAATTAAGCCACAGCCTCCACATTGGCATCCACATGAATGACACTGTACAGTGTGCTAATCTACTGTAGTAAGGTAAATTCCAAACATTAATTTTTAGAAACACAGCTACATCTTTGTCTAGCAAGCTGTTCTTGCTGGACTGCCTTTCCCACTTCCTACTTCACCTCAGTAATTTTTTTCCTATTGAAGCTGATTTTTCCAAACATTGTCACTTCCCAGCAGTTTCCTCCCAGTTGCTCCCATTTCCAGCCAAGTCTTTGAGTTCCCAGCTGAGTCTCATCTCACCCTACATGCATTTCCCAAGGCACCTTCTCCAGAAGTGAGACCTATTGCAAACTTCCACCAAAGCTTATAGCTCCTCCAAGCTACAGTGGGAAGCCGTCTGCAGGGAAAGGCACACAGCAGGGTATCAACAGCCATATATCACTACAGGTATAGTCAAAAAGCTTCTACTTAAGTGGAAAGAGGGGGTGGTGTTTGTGTGTGTTGAAGGTGACAGCTACCCCAGGGCCTCCTGGGGAGAAGCAACTCTCCTAGAGACACGTCTGTGCACTTGGGACAAAATGGACACACATATGAAGCAAGAGGGGAATCCCTTGTTCCCTCACCTTTCCCCATTTTGCAACTGACTTTGGTTGGGCCTCTTCCCAACGGTAAGCATCATCCCTTATCCAAAAGCCAAGGAGAAGAGGGCTGCCAAGTTGGTGGAGCCCCGAGCCAAACCCAAGAATTTTTAAATTCCCTTAGCTGAAAAACAGGGGAACTGTCTCTCCCTCTACTTGCTTGGAACTATGACAGCTACAATGAAAGAGTACCAAACACAGTAACCACATCCAGCTGCAGCTGGTGGTGGGGCTGCCTGGGGTGGTTTTACCAGGTCACCCCTTCTGCTCCAGCCTTGCCTCCGAGAACGTGGGAGGGAGCAGAAGAAACCTGCTCTGAAGCATCAGGGATATGCAAAGCTTCCAAAGGTGCTCAGGTTTGCTTTCAGCAGAACTCTCTGCATCCTCTGTCATGCATCACAGTTCTCCTACAAAAGCAGCTGTGACAACCGTGGCAGGTCAGGTGGGCTTGTGTGTGCCAGAGCTGAGGGCAGCTGGCAGGACTCCAGCAGGACAGAGTGGGGCTCCAGCTTGAGGTAAACCAACAGTACCTTAGTGTGCCCTGTCATCCCCCCAAAGCATGAATTTCCCCAGGTGTCTCCCTCCTGCCCTGGGACACACGCGAGATGGAGCTGCAGGGTAGGACAGAGAGAAAGGAGAGGGACAGTAGCAGCCTTCTCTCCCCAGACTCACAGCCTCTCTATTAGCTAAACCTGCCACCAACGCAAAAAGACCCCTGTAGGTCCCCTCCTCTGGTTCATGCATCAGTGGCTGAGGGGCACCACACTGAGTTCAGGATCTAGGGCATGACATCTATGCCTTCCAATGAAAAAGAAAAGGGGTCCTTCTCAGCTGGACAAAAGAAGATGACATCAAGGCTTGAGGGCAAGCAGACAAGTGTGCATTAGATAAACCGGTCAGTACTCTCATTGTCCCAGTAATGCTGTTACTCTACACTTACTTCATCCACAGTACCCAATGATGAGGGAAAGAGAGCTTTGGGTCCAACTCAGCATTAAACTGCAAGCCTTTAATTAGCATTTAATGTTAGCTCCCAGGCCTTCCCCTTTTCAAAACAGCCAATGTAAAGATGCTTGGAGAGCACCAACCAAGGCTGATCACTCAGGAAAAAAGATGAAGGAAGGAGGTGCGCCATTCAACCTTACAGTCAGTGATTTAATAGACTAATCTACTGCTGTGCAAACCAAAAAGCCAAATGAGCCAAGTTCCCTCTTCCTCCAACAGGACTGCAGGGTTGCTGTTGGGGCTGGAGGCACCTCTCCAGAGGGGAAACAAAACCCTGGCTGAAGATTACCATTAGTCTACACAGATCTTAAAACAGACACTTCCTCTCACCTCACAGAAATCTAAAGTATGCTTGAGCAGAATCCTTCTCCAGGTCACTGTGCAAATCAGCCAACAGGTTCAATGCTTAGCTAGACACTGCCTCCAGACAGAGCCTATCGGAAAGACTTGCCCTGCTGCTTTTCCTTAGTCTACTGTTGTGGGCAAATACTGCAAACTTGACACAAGTTTCCAAGTACTGATATAGCATAGCTAACTACAGCACAGCATGGAGCTGCCAAGAATTTATGAATGTATTTTGCAACATAGCAGGGGATCTTGGAAAATTTCAGGAGTAATTTAGAGGCAGAAGTATAACAAGACAAAACAAAAAACTTATAGACTTCAACTGCTCATAAACACACAGAAAGATGGTCTCATCAGTTTCAGAGGGAAAAAAGTGACTGAAGCATCTTCAGTGGTTTGAGGGAATAAGAGCACCTGGGTTTAATTTTTTAGAAGGAACCTCCTCTCATCAATCACTTGTGCTTCTTTTGAAAATCTCACCAATTTAAACCAGGGTGACTGCAAAACTACTATAGAGCAGGAGCAGATTACCATGCCATTTCTAGTACATATAAAATCTGTTTATTGTTATTAAGATGCAATTTCCCTTCCTAACTGCAGACCTTTCTTCCCATTTATGGCAGCATAAGCTGGTTCAGGGAACTCATTTGGATTCCCTTGAATTTGTGATGAATTCATGGTAACAGAAGTCTGGCCTTTACCTACTTCTGAAGATTTCCATTTAGTCTGACGGAAACAAATCTAAGTATTATTATAAAACTAATTTAGTTTGACAATACTTTCATACCACTGAAAATCACGAGAAGTGCAAACAAGGCCAGGGAATTAAACAGCCTCAGGATGAGAATCTAGCTCTCTGGCTGAAACATCACAGGCCTCTAGCTTAAAAAAGAGCAAGAGGTTACTGCCTATGTAGTAACTGCACAAAGATTTTATTTTTAAGCTGTTGATCAGTGCAAGCATTTATTTCCACAATATATTTATAATGATCAATGATAAAAGTTATACATTCCTCAGAGAGTGTAGGGAATAAAGAAAGTGTATAAATATTGTCTGGAGCACTTACAGCAAGGAAATACTTCTCTTTCACACTGCATGATTTCTTCATGGTAGCAATAAGCTACTTAGGAAATTATTGTAACTGAAGAACCCAAAGTCTTCTCCAGTGGTTTTAAATCTTATTTTGCTTTATGCTTAAAAAGTTATTGTTGCATAAAAATATTTTTAATCCACTTTCTATGTGGTATACAAATCAGAACTATTGAAGAAAAAGCCCATTCCATTAAGGTAAATAAAAAGGCAGAGATGAGCAAACGTTACATTTAAACATTTACAACAATTTATAGTAACCCATCCAACTGATAAATATGTTACCTTCAGAAGACTAGAGCTTAGTTTCATTTTAAAAGGTACTTTTGAGCCATTCCTGGTTAAAAGTCAGCCAATTTAAAATTTCAGAACAAAAACCTGCCACACGTGCTTTTTATACAATAAACCGGCTGAAGGCAGAGTCACCCAGGGCCTAGGCAGAGGCAAATGCTGAACTACCATTTGGCTCCAGGGAAAACACTCCTTCTAACAGGATGAGGGCTCCTTTGAGAGGACTGCAAGAACAATCTCATTTTCACTCTCACTTTAACTGTTTTTTCTGTGTTGAGAAGCTGCTTTCCATCCCCAAATTAAATTGTGAATCCAGTTTGTTGAAACTGTAAGTTAAAACCAATTCCTTTAACTGGACCACAAAAAAAAAATAATCACACATTTGTGAAGCAGCAAATAATCTTATTTATGAAATGCTGTCTTTCCCAAGACAACTGTGTGTGAAGCTTGGTGAAAGCCATCCTTCATTTCCCTGATGAGTGGTGGATCAAAGTACCTCATGATGCACAGCAGGAAGGTCATCTCAGAGTACTTTCTTTCTCATTCATGAGAATTTGATCTTCTCAGATGATGCTTTATTGTTGCTGAAATATGACAATGCTTCCTTGGGAAAATGGGAATCTCCTTTCATTAAATATTCATAGATGTGCCTGTTACCATGGGAGTTGAACACTAAACAAAGCTCAGTGCCTGATCATTATGAACCTGTGCCACAGCATAGGGAGGGAACTGGGGTTTTATCTAACAGCATAGCAGGCTGCAGCTTGCCACTCTCTCAGCAGCAATAGATTTGAAGGGAAAAATAATTTATACTGTGGCAAATTATGCTCTTTATTAACTGAAGCAGAAATGAGGGGATAGAGCAGGTTTCAGATTCAAACTCTGCATTTAGTGCTGCCACAGAATGAAAACAGCAAATATTGTAACGATAATAATGACAATAGTAGTAAGTTTCTGTTAACACATGACCAGGGGAGGTATGTGAAACGTCTGTAAAGGAGGTTTATGGAGTTTAATTTGAATAATGCCGTTATAGGACAATGACTGATCAGGTCTCTGCTTCTCTTTTGGTATAACTGTATGGATATTTAAAACCAAAAAAACCCTGCTAAACACCTTGGCTCCTAATATGGAGGTTGCTACCATTTTTTAACAACATATCCTTTTAAGCTTTCCATGTTGTCACAACTAGCAGGTCAAGAAACACCACCCACTATATGAAGAAAGCAGAGGAGGCACTGCATACTCCAAGATGCCTACCAGACACACGTAAATAAACAGTACTCATTTGGCACACAGGTGGGACCATCTGTATGGCTGTTTTGTATCATGCACTGCCTTCCAGGGAATATGGAAAATGCTTCATGCCAGTCACCTTCTTCCCACCAGACAGATGGATAGATCCTGTTTGTTACATGAAAAAACACATCTGTACAGAAACTTCAACTGGTGATTTAAGGCATGCATCTGTGGCAGAGCTGAAGCTGAGGGCTTCCTTCACTTGCACAGATGCAGACAACCAGTGTGATTTGTAGCAGCCCACAGCTTTTCCCAACATGCCTGCACCATATCAGCCCTGGCTCCTGAGCCTCAGGCAAGCCCCAGGTCTTCAACTTCAATAGTGTGGTCCATGCTGCCAGGAGAGGAGCTACCAATCCATCAAGCTACACAGACTTTGAGAGAAAGAACTGCCAAACAGAAGAGCTGTAAAGAAAGAAACCCAACTTTGTCCAATTTCCTGCATTACAAATGACAACATAGAGACAACCATAGCCACAATACTTAATTAGTCCTACACACCAATTTTGGACAACCAGAGGCTTCTCAGACCACCATCAGTCCTTTGGTCTTTTCATTGTCCCTCAGCCTGCCTCCCCTGCTCTGGCTGAAACTTAAGTCTTAAAAACTTTGGAAGATCTTTCCACCAGATGGCACATCAAGATTTCCTTACCCTCGAGACTTTTTGATACCATTTGTTTCCCACTTCCTTTCACTCCCTCAAATATTAACTCGAGAAATTGCCTCCTTCCTCATGATGATTAACTAGTGTAATGTTTCCACTGAGGTGCTCAATCAGGATTGCTCTGAAAAGCAACCATAAAACTGATATCCAGAGAGCACTGAGGCAAAATAACTATGCATCTTCAGGTCAAATATGCTCAAACAATTTTTCAGGGCAATGGTAGATAAGTTGTTTTTAAATACCATCCTTAAAAACTCCTTGACAGTGAAAGACATTCATCTACAAGACTTGTGAAATGTCCATGTAGTTAAAACCCCTACAAGTGACAGTAGGCCTCTGGCTGGTATTTTGCAAAACACATCACATGCACATTCAAATGCAACATTCTGAAACTTCTTTAAAAATCCATGCAACAAACAGAGAAGCTGAATGCACTCGCCTCTCTTAGTCCTTCTATATGCTGTCTGGTCTAAGAATAGGGATCAGTTAGCACCTAGGTTTGTGGCCCACATCCAGCTGGACACACAGGCTGCCAATGCCAACTAACATGACTTTGCAGAGTGGAAATCATCTCGTCTGGCCAGTGGGTTCGATTTCCCTGAGGTCACTAGGGCTTCTGAAAGACAGTGCATATGTAAATACAAGTTGCCTAATTACAGAAGTGAAAGTGATTATTTTGCAACAAGCAAAATACTAATTGCTAATGGACTTGTTTCAGAGATCATCTCAGAGGTCACAGGTGTCTAGAAACAAAAACTGCCAACCCATGTCCCACTCAGCAGGCTCCAGCTCTCCTGCCTGCATCTCCATCACCTGCCGCAAGCTGTGTCAGAAGGTGTGAGATGGCAGAGGCCCCTGCAGCACACCCTCTCCCCAGCACTAACAGAAAGAAAAATCTGTAAAGCTGAGAATTTGATTGATGGTCCTCCTCAGAAGTGGAACAGACCACTAAGCCATTAACAAAGCAAACTAGTACCCAAATCACATGCCTCAAAGCCAGCTCAGGTATTTTTGCCCTAAAAGGAACTGGCATCTAAGAGATGCTTCCTAAGGATGCTCTTTGAATAAAACATTAATGCTACTGATGCTAATTGGAAACTAGACAATTCTGCCTCTATTTTGAGCCTGTTTTTCTAAGAAAATGAGCCTTGTGAGATCACACTTCTCTCAATAACTTAAACTTGATTGCTTATTTTAGCCAAACCAGAATAGAGACTCAGTGCTCTGAAAGATTTTTGTGCTTATACAAGCTTTACAGAAATCAGCCTGAGATGCCAGGCCTGGAGAAAGGGCATTGGCCTAGTCCACATAAGGCACCTGAAAAGCTACATCCAAGAGACCTAAATGTGAAGAAAGACTTATTAAGATCTCACAAGCTATCACGAGATACTGATGCATGGGGAAAAAAAGGCTTTATTAGTTCCAGTGTTTACAGATCATTTAAGTTAATGCTTCATTCAGCAAAAATCCTGCTACAGAAATATGTAACACATGATCTGTAAAACCACAGGAACAGGCAGCAGGACCAGCACATAAATGTAGTAAAGACAATATTTTCAAGATTAATAGAAAGAGATGGGGTAACATTTCAGGCTTAAGACCTCTTTTCCACTCCAATCCTCCATGGGTCTAAACTGTTAGAGCCTAGCACTTGATTTATGTATGCAATGCAGGCATATAGTTCTCACCAGGGACTAAAAATAAAGAAATTTTACACTCAGCATCCACAGCTAAAGATAATGGCATTACAAGTTAAAATTATTCCGGAATAATTTTATCAAGAATGTGAAATCTGAATCCAACTACAAACATTTTTAGTAAAATATGATCCATTGCTCCACCTGTGTCTGAATACTTTCAAGTCCCTAGACTACACATCTGATACTGTGCAGTAAAAGCTGGGAATGGAATTATGGAGTTACAGCTAGTGATAATTCTGGTTCATGCTTTTACGGACACTTTTGGTGTCTGCTAGATACCCTTACTATTATATCACTACTTGTAAGAAGACCAAAATATAAAGTGCATACCAGAAAGATAATAATATTACATACACAGTGTCATACTGCATGTGTACAGATAGAATATAATACATTTTCTTTACCACTACACTAGTGTTGCTGATTGCTTTACTATGGGAAGCCAAACCTCTTACTTCAGCTCATTTAAAATGGATGGTTCTATTTAGCACATGCACTGAAAAGAATCAGATTTACCAAGCTACATTTTAACAAAAATAGGTAAATTTTAAGACAGTAAATAAGCTGCAAGAGCTTTATATAGCTGTGAATTAGCCAATAATATTATGCTGACATTAAATGGTATTTACTCAGGGTTTTTTTCCCAATTCAGCATCCACAATACAGATGAATTTGCACCAGTTTTTCCCATTCCCTTAATCTCTTGTTTCAGTCACTGTACAGCAGGACCAAGAAGGTAGTATCCAACAGTCACTGCTAGGCATTACACAGTGGTTTCCAGCAAGCCACTGTTTATAAATTTAATAGTAATGTGATTGGCTTCACCAATAAGATACTAGAAAAAATTGGCTAATTTTTAAACTAGACTATCAGACACACTAATAATAATAATAGTCATAATAATAATTTAAGAAGTAATCAACTTTACCCCAGGGAATAAAGAATCCCTCAAACTAATTGTCTATATTTTAAAATTAATAAATAAAAAGCAAGGAGTATTTAAATCTCAGTTCTCGCCTTTCTTCAGTATCACAAAACCTTCAGCAGTAATTATGCCCTTCAAACATGAGGCTGTAATTAGGCATTACGACAGTTACTGGAACAGAGAAGATGCAAGATGTGGTTTCTGTGAAGTGCTCTGGAGTTGCCTATTATAAAGCAATCAGCCCTGCTGGCTGGAATGGGGAAAGCACCCCACAGCTCGCTCTGAGCAGCACAAGGAACAAAGGTAATGAAAGAAACACTACGGAAATGTCTGTGGAAGCAAGTCATTTTGATACAGACACTATATATGACTTTCAACTCCGTCAAATCTGACACTGAAGTTTTTAAAAATTGCATGCCAAGTTTAAAATTCCAAACTCACAGGCACTAACCTCAAATACTCTTAAAGTTATAAAATGAAGTCAACACCTTGCAGGGTGATTAAACCCTTCATAGTTTTAGGCACCACTCCTGCATGGTCAGAGCCATAGCACCATCATTATTAAGACCTTCAGAGTCTGCTGGACTGGGAAAGATAAAGCCACCTCTGGCTCTTCGACTACCAGCAAGGGGCTGGACAGATACCCAATGGCCACATTCAGCAACAATGTTATGCTCTGTGCTTCCTTGGGGAGGATTACACAGTGGCTTTCAGACTTAAGAGAGCTTAGCAAGCAACTGACCTGCAGCTCCGGGAAGGAGCAGACCAAAGGTGTGCCCGGACGCTGGGCTTACCTGATGTGGCGCTTCTCTCCATGCACTGCTTCTGAAGGTCCAGGCTCCGCAGCTCCTCTGTGCTGGCGTATTTCATGACAGAGTTGATGGAGGTGAGGGTGCTGATGAGCTGTGAATTGAGAGATCCAATCTGGGAGTGGGGCTCCCCAAAGGCTTCTGCCAATTCACTGTAATTTTCAGCAAGCAGCATCTGCTGTTCCTGCAGCAGCTTCTGCACACGTTCGATGTAGTGGTCCAAGCCCGTCCTCAGCTCAGGCGGAGGCAGAGGGCTTTCCAACTGACCACTGACCGGCTCGTACACAGACTCTACACCAACACCGATGCTCCTGGTGCCAGTTGGCACAACTGGCAATGGAGGGGGTCCGCAGGCAATGCTCCTCATTTTCAGACCAACCAGGTAGTTCTCATGAACACCTATCTGTCCAATGCCGCAGTCTTTGGTTTTTATTGCAGAGGGCTTCTCAAAGCAAGGATGGCTAGAAAGCACAGTGCCCACTCCAACTGAACGCATTTTAGCAGATGCATGTATATCCTTTACCCGGCCATCCCCCACTGCCACGCTCCGCATCTCCACACTGTCTGTGCTGGTCTGTTTATCACAGCTGCTCAGAGCGGTGTTAGTCCCACAGTCAGCCAGGCAGGCCACCTCCGTGCTGGTGCACTGGCTCACCATCTCCAAAGCAGTGCTGGTTTGCTGGCTAGCCATGGAAGGCACAGCCATCACCATCGCCTCTGCCCTGGGCACAGCTTCTGTGGACATTTCACGGGACACGCACTCCTTGGGCACGCAAACCACCACATCCACCAAGCAGTCCCCGCAGCCCACGGATCTCACTGCTCCAACCGCCTGTGCCCTCTGGCAGGGGCTTGGCACATCTGCTGGCTCCTCTGTGTTGACGCCTGCCTCACAGACACTTGCCTCTGTGCCCACTGCCTTATCATGCAGCTCCACAGACCTCCCTGTACCCTGATCTTGCACCTCTGCCCTCTCCCTCACCAGCCACTGGCTCATCAGCAGCTCAGGGCCCACAGCTGTGCTCCGCATGGCAGGTATGCAGGAGGAGCCGACGCTGCTTGTCTGCAGGTGGTTTCCCACTGACGAATCGGCAACATCCACATGGTCTCCCACCATTTGGTCTCTCGTTTCTATGACAGCCTCCACCATCCTACTGATGACATGGGGCTGAGCCATCATGGCTTTATCCACCTTTTTTCTAGAACCAGCTGCCTGCAACTCCTGTTTTAATTTGGTCATTTCCCTGTCATGGGTAGTTTCCTTTAACTGAACCTCTAGTCTGTAAATCTTCTCCTTAAGGGCTTCGATGGTCTGCTGCTGAAGTTCTATCTCTTTCTCAACCTCTGTAGACAATCCGAGCATGGCCTCTGTCACCCCAACCCCACACTCCCTCATTTCTTTCTCTGTCCCCACAGCAACTTCTTTGTGTTGCCTTGCAGATCTGCTGTATATAACCACATCATTCATGTTCTCATCAGCACCCACAGCAATGGATCGGGCTTCTTTTGTCAGACTTTCTCGGTTCACCTGAAGGTTTGCTGGACTTTCATAGTTGCTATCCTGGATTTTTTTCTCCAGGGCTTGCATCTCAGCAGTCAGCTGCCTGAATTCCTCTATCCTCTGAGAGCTCTGCTCCACGCTCTCCATCTCTTCCTCACAATCTATATACAGTTCTCCACCTCTTCTCACCTGAGACATGTGTTCCCACTGCTCTGCATTTCCAGCACTGTAGGACCGTTTTCTGAAACCATATGTGTCATTTTGAGTGGCTTTCCTGTGGTTTTTGAGTTCAGCCATCATGTGCCTCTTCTCCTCCTGCAACACTGAAATTTTGACCTGTAGCACAGGAATAGTCTTGACTTGCTCCTCGAGCTCCTTGAGACGCTTGAGGGCAACTGCCATTTGCTCCCTGATGTGCTGCAGATGTACCGGGCTCACGTTGGTGACTGGCGTGGATATTCCTGAGCTCATGGGGCTGTGACGAATAGAACTGCCCAAGGAGGAGCTGAAACAGGCATTGTAGTCACCATTACCCTGATATCCATTCTGCAGCTGCTGAGACATGTGACTGTACCCACTGGACCCCACAAAAGAGGGGAGGGAGCTTGTGGAGCCCATGCCTCCAAAGCTGGAAAGCCGGGGCCTGCGAACGTCTCCAGGCGTGACTTGCATCATCCTCTCCTGCTCCAGTCGCCTCCGTGTTTCCATGAGAGTTTTGGTTACAAGGAGGTTGTGCCGAGGAGGCTGGGGGGAGGGAGGAGGAAGCTGTTTATTCTCAGGGACAGTTAAGTAGGTAGGAGATACTTCAAAGGAAACCGAGGGTCTTGCAGGGACGGACAAGGTTACTTGACTCCTCGCTGCCAAAGAAGACTGCTTGTTCTCATCACTGTTTGATGAAGAGAGAGACTCTGCAGAGGTCCAGCCACTGCACTGGCCACTAGAGTTCTTAGTGCTCACAGAAACTGGTACAGCTTTCCTCCTCTTTCGGATATTTAGTTTCTTAATGGTATTCCCCTTTTGTATATCATCCACATACTTTAGAAAATCTAAGTCTAGCTGGTAGCCGTAAGGTGTTTCCACAAAATACGGGTCTTTCCGTTCTTTTTCATCTTCTCCATTTATAATAACTTCCTCTTTTTCTGGAAAAGAAGAAACAAAATCAGCATTCAGTAAACTACACACTAACACACAAGCATATAAAGATGGGTCCTCACAGCACGCCAGAGGCAGAAATTGCTGCTGCAGCTCAGCGAGCAGACCAACTTTCCGCTGACTGACCCTCAACACTAAATCCTGATTAACTTTTTAGACGTTAATCAGTAGGTTTTCAAATGCTGAGAAGTGCATACCCACATAAATGTGTACACACGCATACGCACAGATAGCGCACAGATAGCGCCTGTTAATGAAGGAGCAGAGCCAGCAGCTCAAAGCTGTCCTTTCCCAAATCCTTCCACTCTTCCTGTCTCAAACCAAGCTTTCACACACACTATGTTATTAAGTAAAGACCGTAGGATCACAAGGTACACAAATCATCCAGAGACAAAATTCTCTAGAGGGTGCATTAGAGCAGGCGAAGGGAACTCTGACCCTGCTCCTTATGCAACTGATGCCAGTAGACTTTACACAGCTCTGCAGCTGTTTTATGGCTGTGGGAAGTGCTGCTGCAAGAGCAGAAACACCAGTTTGCTCTCACCTCAGCTCGTATTACTTCCACCAGTGCCTCTGCCTCTTTCATTTTAAACTGCATGAAGCCCCCATCACCACGACAGGTGGTGGGACCCCCTTTCAGCAGGGTCCCAAATCCCACTGCTGAGGAAGGCTGTAGCCTCGCATAAGAGGAGCACCCACCTGCCCTCCAGATGCAGGACTCACCTGTCTGCGAAGCAATCTAAATAAAACTTCAACAGATCCCCCGGGTTTTCTCAGGCTGCGTATTTATATGCAGCACTGCTATACAACCTGTTCCTCCAGGCCCACTTGGCAGGAGAAAAATAAAAAAAATAATAAAAAAAGAAGAAATAAAAAGCCAAAACCAACTGCTGCGAGTTATTCGCTGGAGAAATAATAAAAGCCAGCTTTCCGGTTACCTGACTTAGCCACATGCCTCTGCCCCCACACTGCAAATTTTCCAGCCACGTATGGCTGTCCCAGATTCATGTGTCACACGGCGGAGCCCTGCCTCCCTCCAGCTCGCTCCTGCTTCTCCCCATAAGGAAGCGCCGTCCGCCCCCGCGCTCCCGCCCCCGCGCTGCCCTCCGCCCTCCGCAGGGAGCACCGCGATGTGCCGTGCTGGACGCGGACTCAGCTCTGCGTTTCGTTTTTGAAAGGCGAGGCTTGGAAGCCGTGTCTTCTTAAAGGAATATAAGCCTCGGGGAAGGCGGAGGGGGTTGGAGAGAACAAAATAAAAAAATAATAAAAAAAAAGAAACTCTCGACTTACTGCAACTACAGGAAGTGACTTAATATTGTACTAAAAAGGCTTGGGGGGGGGGGGCGGGAGCTCCTGTTTTTCCAGTTTCCTTGGCATACTTAAGAAAATCTTTGCCTACAGACAGTGTAACTGCTTTCATGGCGATCCGTCATACTTCGGGCTACCACACGACATCCCGAGAAGCCGATGGGAGGAGGACGCTGCTCAGAAAGAACCTTCATCAGTTCGGGAGAAGAATAGGATGGAGGCACAGACACAGACATGCACGTGTGTGATAGCCACAACGGTGGCGCCGACCGGAGCACCTTATTACCTCCGTTCTGCAGTGAAGACAGACGGTTCGACAGACACAAACAACCCCCCCAGACCACATGATTCAGCTGAAAGACTGGAGTCTCAGTATGCTGTGGTATTTACTTACAGATACACCCAAAATAGCCATCTGAATACCAGAGTGGAAGCAAAAATACATGCATACAGAGACACTTCAAACACATAAGGACACGCTGCTTGGCTCCTTCCAGCAGGACTGTCTCATTGTCAGGCAGGGAAAAAGTCTCCAGGACTCTCACTGACAAGGAGAGAACTTCTCTGAAGTACTCCTCTTCAGTGCACTGTTCCCAGATTCTCATCCTGGCTCCATTCCCCAAAGCCAAGCAACTCTTCTTTCCGCACTCCACAGCTCCATACCCTAGACTGGTCCCTCCTGCACCCTGGCTTTGTCCCCACTTTCTCACTGTCCCTCATCTGGGCTCTTTCTGCCTTCTTCCCATGCTTTGGATTTCTTGACCGTTTTCTTTACTTACATGCATTTGCTTGCTCTACCAATCCACACCAAAATCGGGTTACCTCTCACCCCTCATCCCAGACGTGGTTTTAGTCACTTCACCCAGCCCATGTAAATTCAAGCTACATCAGTTCTACCTGTTGTCCCATTTCCCTCAGTTTCCTCCTTTGTTTGTCTTGGTCCTTGTCTTCCCATCCAGCAACATCTCCGATTCTCCCATCACTACACCACTGAAGTAAGGCAGCTGCTCTAAACTGTCCTCAGGCACAATGCATAAGTGTTCAATGGGGGTGGGAAGAACAGACTCTTTGAAAGTCACAGAGCTTAAGAATTAATGCATCTTTGAAAAAATATTCATGAAATCTCTAAAAAGACATGCAAATTTCATCTTCAGTCATGAGAGCCAAACTGGATCTCAGATGTCTTTTTTTTCTTCAGGGAATGGAATTAAGATTGCTTAACAGAAATGTATAAAAAATAAATAATAAAAAAATAACTACAGTGACATTGAAGCCCTCACTAAACCTCTCCACAACACACACAGGCAGTTCAATGTCTTGACAATGAAATCTCTTTGGTTCTCAGCTTAAGCTGGCAGCACTGCCAGGACACAAGTTTGTATCTGCTGTAGCACAAGCACAAGACAGTGCATGGAGCTGACTGCCTACTGCTTCTCCTTAAAACAACACAGTGAGCATTCCACCATCACAATCCCAGTATTATGAGCTGATCTCTCAAGTCTTTTCTTGGTATGTGAAGACAAACGAGGATCAGGCATGCAATCCACTACCACCAACACAACACTGATGCAGCATGCAGGAGCTGTGCCAAGCCTTTGTGCATTTTGCTGTCTCAGAGAAAGGGCCAAAATGGGTGTGCCTGCTAAATGTGAAACAAAGCAAAATGGATGGCTGTTTTGAAGCAATAAAAATGGTTTTACTGGTTCCAAAAAGAAAAAAATCTAATAAAAATGAAATAAATAAGCAGCTCTCCTTCTTCTCAGCCCTTAGGTTCTGGATGAACCATGGATGCGCTTACTCCCTAGATATGATGGGTGGGTACCAAGTGCTACACCAGCAGGTACCCCAGACTAACTTCAGAGGTAGCTGTGTCCATTTCCCTTCATGCCCAGAGACCTCAAGTAAGCAAAAGATTTCTATCCCAACACACAGAGAAATATTGCAGAAAATACCAGGCAGTACAAACACTCTGCTTCCATCAATGTTGCCTCCGTACAATCCTAAACATCCACAGGTCAGATTATGTGACCAATACATCTGTTCTTGAACAGGCAGCAGTCACAAGTATTGAGGCCATGTTACTGAGAACACAGCTGCGCTGGGCAGGACGCGTCTCCAGGATGAAAGATCACCGCCTCCCTAAGATCTTGCTTTATGGTGAACTTGCCACCGGCTGCCGCAAGAGAGGAGCCCCGAAGAAAAGATACAAGGACTCCCTGAAACAACATCTCAGCCTTGGCCATATTGACCACCATAACTGGTCTACTTTGGCTTCCAATTGGGAGGTCTGGAGACACACCATCTATAACGCTGCTGATGCCTTTGAGAAAGCACACAGGATCACTCTTGAGGAGAAAAGACAACGCAGAAAGAATCGTGCCTTGCAGAATATACCATTTAAGGAGTCCTTCTGCTGTGCCTTTTGCAACCGTATGCCTCTCTCGTATTGGCCTTTTTAGCCACCGATGCGCTTGCAACAAACATGGGTAGAGCCCTTCCCAAATCTTCGTTCGCGAAGCCTAGCCATGATGATGATGATGACAAACACTGTTGTTAGGCGCCTTGTCTCATCCTTGGCCAGCTGATCATGGACACTGCTAAAATTAAAAAAAACTATTCCCTAGCTCTGTAGTAGATCAGGCAAATATTAATCACGTGTGCAGATGCACAAACACATACACTTTTGTCTGTGAAAATGCTGCAGACACTCTTGCTTTCATGGAATAATTTGAGTTGGAAAAGACGTTTAAGGTCATCTAGTTCAAATGCAATGGACACAAATACATCATGTTTTTAAGCCAGTACCTGTAAAATAAAACACTCTGAACACTCTGTGAAGCACAGAGACCTCATTGTGGTACTGTCATTATTAATGTGTTTCTCCAGAAGTATGCAAAGACTTCATTTCCCTCTCCCTGCTACAGGATAACCATGGGCAGGACACAAGCAGCATTTAAAAAATGCTCTGTTCAATTCTCACCTTCTGCACTGCTGGGACTGGCTCTGTCCAAACATTCCAGTCTTACCAACTTCTATTAAATCATATCCTATCCAATGCACTACACAAAAACATCAGTATATTAAAATATTGAGTCAGCCCTACCTGAGTCCACACTAATCATGTCTGCTTTCAGACCAGGAGAACTGGAAAAAAAATAGAATATTTAGTTGATGTGCTTCAAGACTTCTGAGGAAGATGAAAGAAGGGAAAATGTGGGCACACATTGAGTTTTGGTTCTGGAGGTTAGAAAAACTATTGTAGAGCTGCCTTGGAAGGTCCAAAAAGAGCAAAGAGAAGCAAATGAAGATGTATTTCCAAAGCTAAAAGTCCAAGAGTGCCTTGATAAATAGAGACATCACATCTAAAGCCTTCTCTCCCCATCTGATTGTGGTTTCTGCTCTAAGGCATTTTTATCTTGGATCTCACTGCTATTAAAGAAGTCTTTTCCATTGAAATACTGTTATGAATAACAGAGTCTCTTTCCAGAGTTATGGTCTAAGACAATTCTTAAGGAATGCTGCAAAGGAAAAATACAGAGGCAATAGTTTGCATAAATGGAGTCAGATCAGTATTTTTATATGCTTAACTTCAGTTTGAAAGGTTATCTGGGGCAGGAAAAGAAGATATTAAAAAAAAAAACTTCTGACTTTTTGATTCCTTACTAGAGAATAAATTGATGGGGTTTCTCCTCCTTCCATCTCCAATACTACTTTTGTTCTTTTCTTTTTCTGTTCTTCTGCATATATAAATGAGTATCAGCCTCACCTTTTGAAAGATCCAAAACTCATGAGGCCAAGCACTTTTTTAAAAAGAAAAAGCAGAATAGAATAATTGACTACTTTTCTTTCATTCACCTTTTCAAGTTTTGGGATGTTTGAATGTAAGTTAAACAAAACAACAACAGCAAAACCTCTTGGAAAGTAGACTTTAAACTTCCACACTCAATTGACCAGCTTTCTAGTCCATATAACAATATATAGAAGATGCTTCTAGCTCCCCAACAATTCAGCCTAGCTCTCCATTGTTTTCCAAGGGGGTTGAGGGGTTAATAAAGTCCAAAACCCAAACAATCAACCTAACAGATTTGGTTTTATTTTATTCCAAGAACAGAGAGAGGAAAACTTACAGAAATTTCTGTACTTTGCCAGACATAGTAGAAGCATTGAGTGTTTTATTTTTCCCCTTGCAGTTAAGGCACAGAGTGGCACTGTGAAGCACGCCACAGGTGTAGAGCACACACTGCCTGCGGTGTGTGCTCATCTTCCAAAAGGAGGAAAGCCACTGTAGCAAAGCAGTCAAGCCACCAAGCTGCCCATGATCACACCCTGATGCTGGGTGCTGGCCTCCTGCAGCATCAGGCTGTGGTGCCTGGATGACCTTGCTCTGCTTGTACAAGCAATGGCACAATTGCCCAGAACACTACACTATACTCTGGATGTGGCTGGTAACACTTCCCTCTCTTTTTCTGCTATGGAAAAACAATCAATAAATACCACCTGGTAAGAAAGATAATCTGTTTTGCTATTGCCAGCTACAGCTATGCCTGGAGCAAACGGGATTTGATTCCTGATGCACCAGAGGCTGTGGTGTAATCCAAATCAGAACTCCCCAGCCAGAGAGGGATGACAGACCCTGCTACCAAACCTGCAGTTACAGGTGCAGTGGATTCTCCTATTACAGAGAAATTCCATTTACTGCACATTTTACTGAAGAAATAAATCTCCAGTGTAAAATGTTCTCTGTAAATTTAAAAAA